TTCTCACCTAGGTCTGCTTCCCATTGGTCAACGTATGTGAGTGTTCCCCATTCAGTAGTGTTGGAGGCTATGTGTGTGTAGACGGATGAGATCATTTTCCTGTGTATGCTTTCCTTCAAGCACGTTTTCTAGTTGGGTAATGTTTTTTGTCGTCAATTCCTTTATGTCGGGTTGGTTGAGAAAGTCTTTAAGTTGTATGTACCGAAAGAGGTCTCTGATTGTAAGGGTCACCCTCTCTTTTAGTTTGTTAAAGGTGTGTAAGCGGTCTCGGTTAGTTGTGTGGCAGTCTTTAGAGTCCCACAGTCTCCAGATTTTTGAAGTCCCGGGTCTCATCCCTTGGGGAAATACTCTGTTCCTAAACAGGGGCATCATTGGGAAGGGAAGTTTAACTAGGCCATATTTCCTGCGTATTTGTCCCATACCCGGATTGAGTTAAGTATGCACGGGCCATCCGTTCTCAGGAACGCCCTGGGGTCTTTGGGCAGCCAAATAAAGTATTGGGGAAGATCTGAGTCCATCATTAGTGACTCCAGTTCCACCCATCTCCTCTGATCGGGAAAACAGGAAAAGAACGCTGGGGAGGACGTTCATCTTGATGGAGTGAACTCTCCCTATCCACGAGATAGGTTTCTCTACCCACTTGTCTAGGTCGCTAATCAGTTCCTCTGTACACTTTAGAAAAAGTAATTTTATTATGTATTGTCTTGCTTTTATAAATTAATTTATAATAAAGCTTTTTTTTTTTAATCATGCTCTTGGGTGGCCTCTCATCTGAATCTACTCTACATTGATTATATCCTTGGTGGGGATACTATTCACTAAAGCCAAAAGGATTGAGAAATACCCGAAATTGCTCAGATACATGTAAGTATCATTCTTTTATTTACTATTTCATCTGTTGTCTACAGAGAGCACTATATTACATATCACGCATACTGCTGACTACACCTGGCTGAACGTTATCCTTGAGTGGGAATTATACCACTTCACAATATCTTGTTAGAGACGCCTGTGGCTCTATATGATGTGAGTGCATATGATATATAAATTCTATATAATCCAAGTGTATTTGAAATACTACACTATATATTGGTCCTTTGTTCTGCTTTGTATTACATGTTTATACCGATTATAAGAAGATACCCATATACCCTAGAGCTGGTTTGGAGCTCTATTAAATAAGTGTTTCTCTACATCTATTCCAGACCAGACAGTTAAATATACTCCGCCATACATGTTCTGTTTTGCATATTTACCCATCAGAAATACAATGACCAACCCACTGCAAACAACAATCAGGCAAGGAGAGAGAACTCTGGCAGGTCTGTTGCTGCTATTTAACAGAACTGTTTATGTGCTTCATTTCCTTTTGGGCTGTTTTGGATTGTAACTTGCATGTAAGTAACATGGTATTGTGATGTGGCGGTAGACTTAAAGTATTGTCATTAGGGGGGCTAAATCATAAAATTTTCTTGAAACTGAACATTTTATGCAGCTAATAAACCCTTCTTGCCAATGTAAACTGATGTTAGTATCTGCACCACTGTTTTGTATTCCATATTTATCCTATACATTTCATAGGATTCTTCCAGTGTGCTGACCTACAAGCTTCCTAATAATTGCTAACAAAATTAGCTACTTGTGCCAGGAGCACACATATTCTAAACTCCCTACTGGGATTGTCTCTAAAACAAGTTGTTGAGGAGCCAACTCGTAAAGAGGCCATACTAGATTTAGTGTTAACAAATGGAGATTTGGTATCAGATGTTACTGTAGGTGAAAGTTTAGGATCCAGTGATCATCAGTAAGTGTGGTTTAATATAAGAACAGTGACTGAGTCACACCACACAAAAACAAAAGTTTTAGACTTTAGAAAAACAGACTTTTCTAAAATTAGAACATGGGTAGAGGAGTCATTATCAGACTGGAGCAATTTAAATGGAGTCCAAGAAAAATGGGATTATTTAAAAGTTGCACTATTGAAGGCAACAGAAGATTGCATTAGGCTTGTCAGTAAAAGCAAAAAATTCAAGAAACCACTGTGGTACTCCGCAGATGTGGCCAAAATAGTTAAAAACAAAAAGTTAGCATTTAGGAATTATAAAAAAACCCAGAGTGAGGGAGACAAAATTATCTATAAGATTAGGCAGAAAGAGGCTAAGCAAGTTATAAGAGCTTCCAAATCACACACAGAAGAGAAAATAGCACAGTCAGTAAAAAAAGGGGACAAAACATTTTTTAGATACATAAATGAGAAAAAGAAAGTAAAACAAGGATTAGTTAGATTAAAAACAAAAGAAGGAAGGTATGGTGAAGAGGATAAAGGTCAGGCTGACTGCCCTTAATGAATATTTTGTCTGTATTTACAGAAGAAAATGCGAAGGAAAGGGACCTAAAGTTGGAGAGAAAAAAAAAAGGATAAATGAGCTCATTTAATACACGCGGAGTTTAGCAGAGGAAGAGGTTCTATTTCAACTGTAAAAAGTAAAGACAAATAAGTCAATGGGACCTGGTGGAACTTACCCAAAGCTATTAAAAGAGCTTAGTGGTGTACTAGCAAAACCATTAACAGATTTATTTAACCAATCATTGTTAACAGGAGTAGTCCCAGAAGATTGGAAGTTAGCGAATGTTGTGCCCATTTACAAGAAAGGTAATAGGGAGGAGTCGGGCAACTATAGCCAGTAAGCCTTACTTCAGTAGTGGGGAAAGTGATGGAAACCATGTTAAAGGATAGGATTGTTGAACATCTAAAAACACATGGATTTCAAGATCAGAGACACATAGTTTCTACTTGTGGGAGATCAATATGCCAAACTAATTCATTGATTTTTTGATTGGGTAACTAAAATTATAGATCAGTGGCAGGTGATACTGCTTACCTAGATTTCAGTAAGGCTTTTCATTACTGTTGCACATAGAAGGCTTATCAATGTAAACCTACCCTTTAAGTTTGATTCAAATATTGCTGAATGGGTATGCGGCTGAGTAACAGCAAATTGTAGAGGGTTGTAGTTAATGGAATATATTCGAAGCTTGGACTTGTCACCAGTGGGGTACCTCAGGGATCTGTACTTGGACCCATTCTCTTTAATATTTTTATTGGTGATATTGCAGAAGGTCTTGAGGTCTTGATGGTAAGGTATGCTGATGATACTAAGATATGTAACAGGGTTGATGTTCCAGGAGGGATAAGCCAAATGGCAAATGATTTAGGTAAACTAGAAAAATGGTCAGAGTTGTGGCAACTGACATTTAATGTGGATAAGCGCAAGATAATGCATCTTGGACGTAAAAACCCAAGGGCAGAGTACAGAATATTTGATAGAGTTCTAACCTCAACATATGAGGAAAGGGATTTAGGGGTGATTATTTCTGATGACTTAAAGGCAGGCAGACAATGTAATAGAGCAGCAGGAAATGCTAGCAGAATGCTTGGTTGTATAGGGAGAGGTATTAGCTGTAGAAAGAGGGAAGTGCTCATGCCATTGTACAGAACACAGGTGAGACCTCACTTGGAGTATTGTACACAGTACTGGAGACCGTATCTTCAGAAGGATATTGATACCTTAGAGAGGGTTCAGAGAAGGGCTAATAAACTGGTTCATGGATTGCGGGATAAAACTTACCAGGAAAGGTTAAAGGATCTTAACATGTATAGCTTGGAGGAAAGACGAGACTGCGGGGATATGATAGAAAAATTTAAATACATAAAGGGAATCAACACAGTAAAGGAGGAGACTATATTTAAAAGAAGAAAAACTACCACAACAAGAGGACATAGTCTTAAAATTAGAGGGACAAAGGTTTAAAAATAATATCAGGAAGTACACGCATTGAGAGGGTAGTGGATGCATGGAATAGCCTTCCAGCTGAAGTGGTAGAGGTTAACACAGTAAAGGAGTTTAAGCATGCATGGGATAGGCATAAGGCTATCCTAACTATAAGATAAGGCTAGGGACTAATGAAAGTTTTTAGAAAATTGGGCAGACTAGATGGGCCGAATGGTTCTTATCTGCCGTCACATTCTATGTTTCTATGTTTCTATGTAGATGTGTGATAAGAGATGGCTGCTCGCAATCTCGCAAGACTAAAGATAGCCGCCGTGGCTTGCTCGCGAGCGGACGCGAGTCAGGTCAGCGCCAAACTGGAGAGTGCGGCGTGACCGTGGAGGAAAGGCCACAGTCATGCTGGGATATACTGGGGGACCAGACGGAAGGGGAACAAACGCCTGGGAGCAGGCGGAAGGGTAGGGATAAAGCCCCAGCAAAACCCAAAAGCTCCTTGAGACCCTGGGAGAAGAGAAATAAAGAGGGGAGAGGGTCAAGCACCCAGAATAAGGTAAAAGTAAACTAATAATAAAGAAAGACCCCCAGATGCCCATAGCATAGAAGTACATTAAAATAAATAGCGAAACCTATTAAAATACAATCCCAAAACAGTCTCAAAAAAGGCAATAGAAATATAAATTATTGGAGAAGAGTAATACTCTGTCCTTTATGCAGTATGTCCTGGAAATCCTGTTTAGCAGTTCACAGAGGCTGCAGCAGCATGTCTTCATACAGTATCACAGTGGCCCCTTGAGTGCTGGCCACAATCCTGACAGAGAGCACTAATCCATGCTCTAATAATTAATACAAGGTTATAGGAGATATTCCCTTAAACAGTCTGTCCTGGAAATTCAATCCAGTAGTTAACAGAGACTGTAACAGTATGCCTCTATACAGTATCACAGTGCAGTAAAATAGAGTAGAGGGCTTAACCCTTGAGTGTAGGCCACAGTTCTGATAGAGAGCACTAATCCATGTTCTAATAGTTAATACATGGTTATGGGTGAAATCCCTATAAACAGCTTATATAAATGACCTTATTCAACATTAATGTGCAACCCCAGTAAGATCCAAAAGCCCCTCGAGCCCCAGAGAAGTGAGAGCAAAGGGCAGAAGCCAAGAATAAGGTAGAAACACAATAAATAACATAGAAAAAACACAGCTGCACATAGTACAGAAGCACAGCAAGAACATATAGCAAAGTATATCCAATAATATAATACAGTAACAACCTCAAAAGAGGCAATAGAAATATAAAGTAATAGAGAAGTGTAATACTCTGACCTGTCTGTTTGATTGGAGCAGCAAAGAGAGAGGAAATGATGAGGTCACTATGCCTTATGTACATCCTACTCTCTTGTGATTTTTCTCTTGGTTATTTTTTCTATATGTTTCTTTGCTACAGTGTGGAGCTAGTAAAGAGAGATTATGCAAAATACGAAGCCTCCTGTCATGTTGTAAAATTTGCATGCATTTTACGTTATCTGTCATATCACTCTAATTACAGTAAATAATACATAGTTTTATAATCTATATTTAGGTTGTAGAACTAATTGAGCGATTCTACCCAATTCAAAATACATATTTTTATTTTTCTGAGATACAGGCTATCCACTTGTTTCTGACAGACATTAGCTTCAGCAGAATATAATTCTGTACCTATCCAAGTACACTGCTCAAAAAAATAAAGGGAACACAAAAATAACACATCCTAGATCTGAATGAATTAAATATTCTTCTGAAATACTTTGTTCTTTACATTGTTGAATGTGCTGACAACAAAATCACACAAAAATTAAAAAATGGAAATAAAATTTTTCAACCCATGGAGGTCTGGATTTGGAGTCACACTCAAAATTAAAGTGGAAAAACACACTACAGGCTGATCCAACTTTGATGTAATGTCCTTAAAACAAGTCAAAATGAGGCTCAGTAGTGTGTGTGGCCGCCACGTGCCTGTATGCCCTCCCTACAACACCTGTGCATGCTCCTGATGAGGTGGCAGACGGTGTCCTGAGGGATCTCCTCCCAGACCTGGACTAAAGCATCTGCCAACTCCTGGACAGTCTGTGGTGCAACGTGACGTTGATGGATGGAGCGAGACATGATGTCCCAGATGTGCTCAATTGGATTCAGGTCTGGGGAACGAGCGGGCCAGTCCATAGCATCAATGCCTTTGTCTTGCAGGAACTGCTGACACACTCCAGCCACATGAGGTCTAGCATTGTCTTGCATTAGGAGGAACCAAGGGCCAACCGCACCAGCATATGGTCTCACGAGGGGTCTGAGGATCTCATCTTGGTACCTAATGGCAGTCAGGCTACCTCTGGCGAGCACATAGAGGGCTGTGCGGCCCCCCAGAGAAATGCCACCCCACACCATTAGTGACCCACTGCCAAACCGGTCATGCTGGAGGATGTTGCAGGCAGCAGAACGTTCTCCACGGTGTCTCCAGACTCTGTCACATCTGTCACATGTGCTTAGTGTGAACCTGCTTTCATCTGTGAAGAGCACAGGGCGCCAGTGGCGAATTTGCCAATCTTGGTGTTCTCTGACAAATGCCAAACGTCCTGCACGGTGTTGGGCTGTAAGCACAACCCCCACCTGTGGACGTCGGGCCATCATACAACCCTCATGGAGTCTGTTTCTAACCGTTTGAGCAGACACATGCACATTTGTGGGCTGCTGGAGGTCATTTTGCAGGACTGTGGCAGTGCTCCTCCTGTTCCTCCTTGCACAAAGGCGGAGGTAGCGGTCCTGCTGCTGGTTTGTTCCCTCCTACGGCCTCCTCCATGTCTCCTGATGTACTGACCTGTCTCCTGGTAGCGCCTCCATGCTCTGGACACTACGCTGACAGATACAGCAAACCTTCTTGCCACAGCTCGCATTGATGTGCCATCCTGGATGAGCTGCATTACCTGAGCCACTTGTGTGGGTTGTAGACTCCGTCTCATGCTACCACTAGAGTGAAAGCACCGCCAGCATTCAAAAGTGACCAAAACATCAGCCAGGAAGCATAGGAACTGAGAAGTGGTCTGTGGTCACCACCTGCAGAACCACTCCTTTATTGGGGGTGACTTGCTAATTGCCTATAATTTCCATCTGTTGTCTATCCCATTTGCACAACAGCATGTGAAATTGATTGTCACTTAGTGTTGCTTCCTAAGTGAACAGTTTGATTTCACAGAAGTGTGATTGACTTGGAGTTACATTGTGTTGTTTAAGTGTTCCTTTTATTTTTTTGAGCAGTGTATATTGGTATGGCACATACAGTTAGGTCCGGAAATATTTGGACATTGATACAATTTTCATAATTTTGGCACTGTACCATCACTATCACTATCCATCACTATGGATTAGAAATGAAACAAGAGAGATGCAACTGAAGTGCAGACTTTGAGCTTTAATTCAAGGGGTTAAACAAAATAATTTTGGAGAGATGGATTCTAAACTATCGAGAATGGCTTAACCCCTTGATATAAGAGTGCCCTTACGGGTCCTCCTTGTAATGGGGCTTCCTGGCACCATAAAACCGTAATTTTGATTTAGTAGTTATGGTGCATGGAGTGTTCCTTTAAGTCAATATATCCATTTGTTTCCCTTTATTAAAAAAAATATTTTTTTTTCATACCCATTGTCAGATCTCCTCGTAAAATATTCAACGTATTTGTAATATCACTAAATAATATCAAGTCTTAAAGCTTCTTCATTATCATATTAATTAGTCTTGATTACAATTCATCCCCTCTTTTCTGCAGTTTTTATGCAGCTAGAATCATCACTCCTCAGTTTCCTTAATGGGTTAAAGACTGTTCACCAATTTATTTGCAGCTGCCACATTATCCACCCATGTGATCAAATGATCTCGAAAATGTCCATGTAATTTTTCTGTATTACAGATTAAGGAACAGTGCACACATAAAAATACATGGTTTAAATGTTATAAGGCTGCTTTAAATCACCTATCTCAGCAAACAAATATGGGTATTCAATTCCACCATATGGCCGTATTGTGTTAAGCCCATCACCATGACCATCTTCAGAGGCCCCTTTGCAGGTTACCACAAGTATAAATTTGAGGTGTCACTATAATTTTCATAGAGCAGATATATGAATTGCATAGTGAGTGTATACATTAAAGTACTATCAATTAAATTGTTTAGTTTTGACACTGCATTATTTTTATTGCGCTTATCACATTAATTTAGAATTTTATATATATTTACAATGCTCTTACAGTAGATATATACACTTTAGCTTAATTAGCAGTAGCACTATTTAATTTGTTTCCCACATTTGAATTAGCGTAGGACCCACCGATAATGTGGAGATACTGTCAGGGCCTTGACTAGGGATACAAAGCAGGCAGCCTCACAAGTCATTGTGCCATGTATTGTGTGCAATATATATATATATATATATATATATATATTTTCCGGCCATGGCCATGGTAGGCCTACTCCAGGGTTAGCTCCTCCCCTCACTCCCATTGGACAGGACAACA